TAGATGGGATATCAGATCCATTTTTCAAAAATAAAAAAAAGTACGTGCCACACGTACGTAAAATGCAGCACGTTTATATCTATATTTTATGCGCAGTTATGTTTTTACGTAATACGTAACAAAATTCATTATGTCTAAGCCCAATATGGACCTTTCATACTGCAGTTTGTCAGGTTTTTTGTGCTGGAATGCAGCGTAACACAATGTGCGAGGCATGTAGTTACGTAAACACTTGATTTGACGATCGGAATTTTTCTATAAATAGGATATCGCATCAAAAGTAAGATCTGACACACGTAGATGACTACTTCAGGGAAACAACCTTCAGTTGCACCAGATCGTAAACGACGAGAAACTTGTTGGAAAATACGTGATGAATTTTTCTCGTGTCTTGATAGTGCGTTGATTGATGATCCGACAAAGATCGATTCGGATGAATCGATTCAACTGATTGCCAGAAAAGGTGGATGCTGGAAATTGAAACAAGATTATGAGGAAGCTTGCATGAACAGTTGGGTGAGTTTTGTGGAAATATTGTGATGATTGTATTACAATTAGAGTTTTCCCTTTTTAAAATTATAAAGATCATTCAATAATTTCCAATATTTCTCATTATTTTACTTAAAGGTCAATTATTTTAATAAACGGCGTGCATTGGAAGCCCGACAACGAGCAATGGCAACGAAAACACAGACAGCATAAAAGTAGGCTTATATGATAATATTATAACAAGATCATATCGCGGTATCTTCCATGCATACTATCCACTATGCCGTTAAATAAGTCTTACTAGTTTGTACGGTGTCGAACGCAATCTATTGTTGGAAATAAATCGGCGAATCCATTATTACATCAACGGGACGGTTGATTTGATCGAACGTAACACGAATAGATAAGAATGAATTGATTTTTTTATGAAACATGGATTACGAAGAGATATTTGATAACATATACGCTCAAACCATTTTTTTTCATCCATCTCATTTGTATAACCCCAAATACTAAATTTTCCATATTGCACACACTGTACCTCATCTATTATACGGATAAGGTGATGTGTAATAAACATTATAAGAAAGGAACGAGGTATTATACAGCCCTGGTTCAAAAAATTAAAATTTCGATAAAACCAAATTATATAAACATTTGAAAATATAGAATAATGATCGATAAACAATAAGATTATTGAATACATAAAAATTATCAAATAATGTTATTTTAGATTAATATTTTTTAAAAAATAAAATTTGATTTTGATTTCGTGTTTTCAATTATTTTAAAAAAATTGTTTAAAAATTGTTCGACTTCTATAATAAGTATTGATTCGTACAGTAAATGACAACATACCATTTAATTTTTTATTTTAAATACAATTTAAACATATAATAAATAAAAATTTTATAAAAAAATTTGCGATATGTTGTATTTAATTGGTGTTTTATCTTTATTTTATCTTCATTTTATTTTAATATTAATTTAATATTTTAAATGTCATGCCATTTATTAAATCAATTTTTTTTAATACATTTTTAATATCGATTATTTAATTTATCGAAAACGTTAGGTTAGTATTATTATACTATAAAAGATGAATATGTTCTAGGTTTTATTAATAATTAGTAAATGATTTTAGATCTATGGATCATTAGCATAATATGGATATTTATAAAGTGTTAAAAAAAATATTTATAATTTCAATTTACGATATTGTAAAAATTGAATATTCTTATTTATTGATTTTAATTTATTAGCATTAAAAAAATAATCAAGTATATATTGTATATGGGTAATTATTTTTCAAGGTGACAA